GTGATGACAGTGTCACTGAAGGTAGTTCTGAGTTCTTGTGCTTTGGTGGTGCAGATTGTGAAAAGCATCTGATTGGGATAGTCGTGATGATGATGATGATGAAGGTGGTGCTGAGGTTTGTTGTAACAAGGTCAAGAGAGCAATTATGATGATGTTGGAGGTGGTGAAGGTGTTCAAGATGACTATGGTGGTGAGGAAGATGTGGGTGCGAGTGATAACAGTGAGTTTGGATGAAGATGATGCTGATGTTGGTTGATGGTTGATGGTGAAGGTGTTTAAGATGATTCTGGTGAAGACAGTGACAACGATGGTAATGATGATGATGATGGCATCAAGGTTTGTTGTAACAAAGTCACTAGATGATGGTGTTGATACCACTGCGCATTGCTGTGGATGGTGGTGTCCAAAAGTATTACACTCCCTCCTTTATTTGCCCTATAGTATTCAAAATAAAGGTGCCAAAGGGGCAATGCCATAGAAGAACCACTAAAGAACCAAATTTGAAAAAGAGATGTGTGAGTCTGAAGAAACTTTTTAAAGATTTAAAGAACCTGCACATAATGTAAGGTCCTACACTTCTAGCAAAAAGGGTTTTATATAGTACCAAAAAAGGGTTGCTTGGCTTGTAACAATAGTGGAAACCTTTTTGGTGCCAATAGAACCCTTTTCAAAAAGGTTCTATATATCCATCTACAGCTTATTCTCCATCAATTTCATGATGCAAAGAACCCTATAATCATGCAAGGGTTCTTTGAGTGTTCATGGTTCTATATGGAGCCATTTTCTTTACTAAAGAATCCTTGAAGAACCATCTTTTTAAAGAGTGTAGAACTAGTGCAGTAAATGGTTCTTTAAAGTTTTAAAAGGTTCTTCACTCTCACATGTGTCCTTTGCAGAAAGATCCACCCATTGAAGGTTTTTAGGGAACCAAAAGTGGATCTTCTGAGGCATCACACACAGAACGCTTTGTTTTTTAAGTGTTGTCTCTGTTTAAGACAGTGATGATGATTGTGATGATGATGATGATGATGATGATGAAGGTGGAGAGGTTTATTGTAATCTCGAGAATAATTATGATACTTTGGAGATGGCTAAGATGGTGGTCATGCTGGTCATGCCAGTCATAGTGACAATGGTGCTGAGGTTTATTGTATTAAAGGCATGAGATAATTACAGTTATCTCAGATGATGAGGATGAAGGTGACGTAGATGCCACTGCAAGCTGCTGTGGATGATGAAGAAGACTGGATGCTGTTAGGATAGATTGCGATGATTCTACACTCTTGAAATTAAAGGTGCAAGTAAGGGTTCTTTGTGTGCCGCTGTAGAAGAATCACTTTTGATTCCCTAAAGAACCTTTTAATGAATGAACTATTTCTGCAAATGAGATCTGTGAGCATGAAGAACCTTTTTAAAGTTTAAAGAATCTCTTTGAACCTTCAAAAGGTTCTTCATATGCACAAATCTCCTTTCCAAACGTGCTTCTTTAGTGGTTTTTCCCACGGCATTTCTCAAAGAACCCTTTGTGGCGTCTTTCGTTTAGGCTAAATTCATATGTAAGTTTGTCATGGAACTGTACATCCAAACCCAGAACCATGTAGAAATCTTTCTTTTAATATCTTTTATTTTAACCTTAATTTCAAGAGGTATAAATGACCTCACAGTGACCAGCAGTGCCACCCCTCCCCCACTGCACCTTTATTTGGCCCGTTCTCTTTTCACATGGCTCCTCTTTTCCTTTAATGAGGTCAAGCGCTGGGGCACAGTGAGCATGACCCAGACGGCTGACGCAGCTTTCTGTTCTCCGCTTGTCAATCCCACGCGCTCATACCGTCCACACCGTGCTCCTGCCACGTGTACCGGCACGTTTTGTCCATCTGTCAGGAGGCTGCAGTCACTCACCGCTGAGCTGACACAACATGTGGCTGCTTCCTAATGGGAGGCAAAAACCATTCAATTAAAGCGCGGCATCACAGCGAATAATCTCCTCAGCTCTTCAGCGCAGAGCGAAGAATAAAGAGATGGGCCTTACATTAGAAACCTGCACTGCTGTGGACGTGAGCTGCTGCTGTCTGTCTGAAATGCTCTCAGCTTCAAACAAATGGCAAATGTTAGGGTCAAGTGTCAGTAGGTGAGGCAGAGCAGCGGGTGAGACCTGTGAGAGTGTCTCGATGGCTTTCACATACAGTCATGTGTAAACGTTTGGATGCCCCTGGTCAGATTAGTGAAAATAAGTTTAAACACGCTCCACAGGGAACAAGCATGACATTTTTCTGAAAGCTGTTTGCTATTTTTAGGCTGATTTTAGCATATTGGACAAAAAAAACATAAAATTCAAATGTGCCATAACTTTTGCACAAGCCACATTTTATGTTTTTTTTTCCCCCAATATGTTCAATCCAACAAATAAACAGCAATTATGTATTAAAATGTGTCCTCTGTAGAGGATGTGACATATAATGTATCACATTTTAATGTATTGTATTGTAACATATTGTATGATATAGTAATGTATCGATTTATATTGTATTGTATCATAACATGTTGTATTGTATCATATCGTATCGTATGGTAAAGTATCGATTTACATTGTGACGTATCGTATCA